GAAAACATCCACATTTTATGCTTAACAGTTGAATCTATGAATAGACAGTGACTATGGGCTTCAGCCTTATTCTAGGTTAAAAAGAGCTCTTTAACCTTGAAGACAAACAACATGCACCAAGTACCATACCTCATTACTGGTATGAATGTTCACATGTCCAAGGTGCAATCAGAAAATATATTGGATCTACCTTTAGAAGGCTCACCATTCGAATAGAAAAAAAACAATGCTAAAACCTACAACCAATAATATTTCCAACCACCATATGTGATATTGTATCTACTTACAGTTTCTTCTGGTTCTTTCTCTATTACCAATAACAATTCCAACTTAGAATGCTAAAATTTCTTGTAATTAAGCTTCAAAGACCAGTTCTTATCCAGAAGAAAAGAACACTATGAAAATGTAAAGAACATGACCTTCAATCTAGAAATAGATATCCAATTAAGGAACAAAAATTTAATATTTCTTTTATACTCAAGAGAATTAAATTGAAACATGAAACTTAGATTCCGACATACTCAAGCTGACAAAATCTAACGAACGAGGGAACTTAGAATATAAAATTATTGCTGGGAATACTGTGTAAAAATGTCAGTTATCTAATAAATTAAGGACACACTATGTGATCTTATTTCTATCAAATTGCAGCTTCATTATAAGCTAAAAAGGTTTGTAAGTAACACATTTTTCTGAAAAATGGTTTTCTGCACTCTTCAGAAAAGATCCAACTTTTACAGAATATTTGTGTGTCTAGTATGTGTGCCCAGGCAGTCACGTGTGAATGTTTGCATATCCTTGAAACAGTTATTTGGTAGTGAGATGAAAATCTTCATATAATGTTTTTTTTTAAGTTAAAAACTAAAAAGAAAATAATTATGACAAAAATAACAAGAAACAAACGTATTAAACATACATCTTAATTACAGTTTAACTAAGAGCAAACTGAGGCAAAGGTCCCTAAAACTTTCTACAACTAAATAAATTATTAGTCCAAAATTCTAAAAATAATTTAATTTTTCTCTCAGCTATAAGAAAAATGTTACTATTTCTGTATGAAAATATACATTATTATAGTTTCATGAATAGTTGCAGTACTTTAAAAGAATAAAATGAGTAATAAATGACACCCACTTTTCACATAAAAATAGCTTAAAGACCCCATCTAAAAAATTTCAACTATAACCCTTGAAATTAACAGTATAACTGCAACCTACTAATGCTACATGCCATTAACCTTATCCATGCCACAGAGCACCTTTTGGG